GTGTTGACGTAGAGTACTTCGTCATCTACGGGTAGAATACCCGTAATTTCGACCTCCGGGCACGTAAGCAAACTCACGAGCTTTTGACGAGTCGTTACGATTTCCGTTTTAGGTCGATTTTCGCGCTGCCCGAACTTACCCCAAAAGGAATTCAGACATAGTTTGGCGACTGCTCGCAGACCGGGATTTGATTTTATATTAGCAGGATCTAGTCGAATACCCTCGACCCGATCGTACACCTCTACATACAGCTTCTTAGACTCATCGTCGCTGCACTCGCGCGGCCAGCCGCTAGCCTCCTGCTTAATCTTCAGGAATGTATTTATGTAACTGGCAAGGTGGCCGCCCGTCCGCGTCGTCGGATCGTACTGAGTGATCTCGTATTGCCATATTTCGTTTATCGCCGTTATTTGATATCCTTTACGTACAACGCGCCTGACCTCGTCCACAACCCATGTCCCTTCGAATACTCTATCGTCAGGATTCTCGTGAGGACACGAACCCTGTAGCGTTGACTCTGCACAGGAACAAGACAGTGCGAAATAGTTATTTAGGTATCTTGAGCAAGAGTTTCGTTCAAGTTACGTAAACAATTTCTCTGCGCGAGCGGCCGTATCGGGCGATCGCGTGCAGAGTACGGCTCAAAGATTTTTTTATAAAATAAATAAATAGATATTTGAAGGAATAATTTACTAATTATTGAATTACTAAATTCTTTATTTAAATTTTTCAGATAAAAATATAATAACATTTGTGTTAATCATGAATAATTATTACTATAGCTACATTAAATTATTACATTTTATAACAATTCTAATAATAGTCTGTTAAAGCTTGCATTCGAATAAAATATTTTAAATTGAACTAAACATTTTAAATTATTAGTTATTTTTATAAAATATTTTTAATATAAAACATTTTGATTTTAAACTTTTCTACTTAAATTGAACTAATCATTTTAAATTATATTAGTCATTTTTATGAAATATTTTTAATATTAAACATTTTTGTACTTAAATTTTAGTGACATAGATATCATAAAAACGAGATCATAACATTTTTAAATTAATATAGATATTTCACTATCGTAGATAAGGATACATTTTTAATTTAAGATTTGTTAAACTAGAGATTAATTGTTGATTGTAATATTACTTTTTTTGAAAATAAAAATAGGTTTTTCTTTTTTTTCTTTCTTCTCATAAAAATCAGTTGTAATAATTTCTGTTAGTTTTTCTTGTGATAAATTTTCCATATCTTCAATGACTATGTTTTTTTTCTTCAATTTTTTCTTTGGTGGCTCAAAATCAGAAAACAATACTTCTTCGTATTCAGCCTGAGTAATCACATCAATAGCTTCTTTTTCAACTTGTGATAATTTCATCACATTTTGTTTTGAAACACTTCTGTTGTTGATTTTTTTCTCCAATAGAACATTACTTGGCTCTGCTTTTAATCGACTTTGAATGTTTATCGAATAAGATATTAATTTACTGGTTCTTTGTTTATTCAAATCAGACTCATCAATGTAGCTCTCAGCTACGGTACTACTCTTCCAACCACCATGTCTCTTAAGTTGTAGTAAATCTGCTCCTTCGTCAACAAGAAAAGTAGCAGAAGTTCGCCTGTAGCCATGCCCAGTATACAGTTGGATATCAAGAAGATTTAAAAACTTTGCTACATCTTGGAGAATAGCAGTTAGCGTACGCTTACCAACATTCTGTAAATATTGTATATATAGATTAAAACTAAAGTTTATATTATAGATTAAATTTAAATTATTAAGGTTAAGGTCAAGTTTTATTTATATAAATAGGAATATAAAATAATTATTTACCTGTCGAGTACATTTCTTATTGCGATACTGGACCAAGAATCTTTGCATACCTTCTGGGCGTAGCTTGATATACTTATCAAGTATTGGGTGCACCTCTTCACTCGTAACAAATGATTTACCAGCTACTTTTGTTCTTGTTGATGCTGGAGGTATGTAAATTTTAAACAACAAACCTTGTTGTTTCACATTTTCCATTGTTATGTTTAACAATTCTTTGCAGCGAAGACATCCATGTGAACCGATGACCAGGGCAACCTTTTGAAATAAAATGTTTAGTATGATTAATTTGATTTCATACAAATTATATACTTATTTTTTATTTTGTCTCACCTTGTGTAAAAGAAACTCATCATCTGAAGCAGTATTTAAAAAAGTTGAAACTTGATCTGATGTAAAAACTTTGGCTTTTTTTACAGTATGACATTATCCTTTCCTTTTAAGAAAACTTTGTACCTCCAGAAATTTACTAATATCTACATGTTCCTTAAACTTCAGCATTGAGTTCAACTTTGAATATGTTGACCGTAACGTAGTAGCTGCATATTTTTCTGATAACTTTTAGAAATATGCAAGCACAAGTTCTTCATGTATTTTATTCTTTTTTATTTCTAGACACCAACCTTTAAACTTTTCATACTGCACTTCATATAACCTCTTTGATTCTTCTGGAATTGCATTGGATCGAGCTTTTTCTAGGAGGTTATGTAGTTCACTTGAACAGTTATCATCGTCGTCATCACTAGAGTCACTATCACTTGATACACAGTTTTTATTAGCGTTAAACATGTTTGAATAATCCATTTTTAGTATAATAATTACACTTTTACACATCCACAAACGTTAAAAGAATCTCCGGCGTTGATCGTGTTTATACTTGTATATACAACGTGTGTCAGCAGAAACATTCCCCTATCTCATTCTCCTTCTCCCCTCTTACACTCTCCTTCTCCTACATTGCTCCTCTCCGGCGCTGCTGCTGCCGCGTTGCAATGACAAAAGGTTAGTTCTCATACTTCTCTCCTGCGCTGCAATAACTGCTACTTCGGTGCACTAGATAGAAAACGAACAAACCTAGCGTCATTGCAGCGCAGGAGCGGGAATCAATGGCTTTACAGATTTACCCGACTCTGCACGATGTTCGCCCGATTACGGACGCGAGCGCTGAAAAGCAATTTACCGTGCATGCGCGTCGGTAACACGGGGTGATACAGATCTCGCGGTGGTAACACGACACACTTAATCAGCCCCTCTATGCTATCGATGTTATTGTGATCACCCGTTAGTTCGCGACAATCATCGCACACGTACACTCTAGGGTGACCTACAGGGAATTTCCCCGTTTTCGATATGAAGGGATAGAGCGAGCATACATCAACGTAGTGTATCCTCACAGAACCCTCGACTTCGTAAAAACTGACGGTATTCCCTGTACGTCCGCCGAAGAAAGCATCGCGGGGTTCCAGCGGTAGTTGCGCTACCAACGGGTTCTCATTCAATGTTCTATATAATGTAGCCTGTGCCGGATCGCTTATCCATCTATCGAATTCACACTCCCAGATTTCTGTCAATTCGTAACCGAGATACCGGATCTTATCACTCATTGCCTGCGTTCTCTCGAAGCGCGCATCCATAGATTCCCCCGTGTGCAACCGTGTATCCCTGTTTATGCGATAACATTTTGGGCATCCGTGCCAGAAGCAACCCTGAAACTGCAAGACGTGTCGCAAGCCTGTATCGGTGTCGTGGTAGTATCCGA